GATGTCTTCAAACTTTCAAGTGCTTCCTCCTGAAGTCAAAAGCTGCTCTTAGGGCACGCCTGCAATAAGGGCCGGGGTTCCATCCCCAGGCCTGCTGTGCCGGCCCCACCCCTGAGGTGCACTGAGATGTCAATAGACTGGGCATGGTGGCACACAGCTGTAATCCCAGCTCTTAGGAGGCTGTTAACAGGCGGATCACTAAGAGTCTGATCTAGTAGTGGGACCCTGAACACTCTGTAGACCCTTCCCTAAAATATAAAAAAAAAAACAACAGCAAAAAGAGCACTTTAGGGGCCGGGGAGATGGCTTAGTAGAATAAGCGCTTCCCTGGCAAGTGCAAGGGCCTGAGTTCAATACTGGTTCCAAGAAGAAAAAAAAAGCACTTTACTCTGGGTCCATTTTCCAAACCCAGCAGAAAGTGGCACTTTCAGGGTCTCTGCCGCCTCCGCTATCATCAAGGAGAGGTGAAATACTGGTCTCCAGGCAAATACAGTCATACATCCTCATGTTCAACTGACTGCTAACCAAAAACACCCTGTCTACACTAAAAAAGCACAGTCACTTTTCCTTCTTACTATTCCCCAAACAGTACAGGGCAGTAACTATTCACACCGCACGGACATCGCATCAGATGCAGGAGGTCAGGTCGGTGACTTGAAGTACACAAGGGAAGCAGCACAAGTGGAACACCCTGGATGTCCCAGCTACTGGGGGGCTGAGGGGTGAGGATCACCTGATCTCATGAGTTCCAGACCAGCAAGATCCCAACTCAAAAAACAAAAGTGAAAAAACTATACGGGAGGATGTGTGAAAGTTGTACGCAAACACTGCACCATTTTCCGTAACGGACTCCAGTATCTGCGTTTTCTGACGTCCTGGAGAGAAGGAGGAGACCACTGAGAGCAGCCCTCCATGGACACCAAGGAGCAATGTTACGCAGCAGCCTTCTGCCCCAAACAAACGAGCGAAGTCAAAGCTGAAAATAAAAGCCTGGTGACAAGACGCTGGAAACCTGGGAAAACGACCTTTAAGACATGTTCAGTCTAGTGCAAAGCATCTACAAATAATAAGTGATATGAAGTCTACATTGACGACTTTACAGCAAGGACAGCATTGGCACCAATTATTTTGGGGGCTAGTCAAAGGAACTTGTCATTCCTCCACAGAACAATGACCTAAAATAGGTGCCGAGTAGTTAAAAGCTAAATTCTTTCCCGGTTCAGAATGGAAAAAGTGCTGCTCCCAGCAAACTGACATCATTTCACTAAATTAGATTAATTTTTAAATGTGTTATTCTACCAATTATGCCAACTACCATGTAATTAATATGCCAACTGACTTGACAAAAATTATGAAAATCCCCTGAAGAAAATAGCTAGTCATTAGGCATGCATGAGACTCTTCCTTGGTCAACTGCTGATAAAACAGCAAGTTCACCACGTAAGGGCAGCATCAAAGCCCTTCCCACATCCTTCCATTCTTAGCCAATAGCACGGAGAGCTGACACTGGCAAGTTACCCCCAACTTCACTCCACATATTAATGCACTCGCTGGTTTAAATTCTTTGAGGGTAAAGTGATGAATGGTAAAAGCTCTGGCAATTAAAAAGCTCTTTTCATTTGTAGGCGAAGCGAGATAAACACATATAATTAATTGTTTTGCTTCCTCCGTGTCACCAGCTGGAAATTAGAATACTGTCTTATTTCTGGAGGCTACTTCTTGAATTTATTACAGAAATGTACATAACAAGGTAAAACATTACCCAGGTTTTCCTCTTTTCTTTCTGGATTTTAGGGATTCTTACTATCTACCTTAAATCCTTCCCCCAAATCAGGTGCCGTACGAATAAGCACTGGTCACACGGGACATCCGTCATCTACCATCACAGATGATAAACACGCTTTCTCTGCAGCCCTCCTCTGAGCAGCTGCCTCACCCCTGAACACAGCTGCAAGGCCATGAGCTGGTAGCACACAGCCTCAGCAGGAAAGAATGCAACACTTGACTAGTGCTATCTGCCCTGGAAAGAGCAAGGACTTAAGGACCTATAATACCATGTATTAGGGGCCAGGGAGATGGCTCAGCGGAATAAGCGCTTTCCTGGCAAGCACAAGGGCCTGAGTTCAATCCCCGGTTCCGCAAAAAAAACACAAAAAACAAAAGAAAGAATTTCAAGCCCTAATACCATGTATTTGTCAACTTCATCCTTTGTTAGATCATTACAAATGTTTTAAAAAGGAATATAGATGGAACGAGTAAGATGTATAAGTTCAATGTACTGTAAGTTGTTTCTAGGAAGCAACCAAAAGGGGGAAGAATGTGTCCTTGGGTTGAAAACCTTAAAACTGAACCAAGCATTGAGTTTTAGAGGAAAAAGCAATGACCTCAGTCAGGAAACCCAAACTAGTCCACTGGGGTGCTGTGAAGAGGCCAGCCCACTGGGCCTCAGTCTGCTGGCTGTCACCTCAGAGGCTGATCTCCTGCCTGCTCTCATTGCTGGCACACAGGAAATGAAAGCACGGTCACTGTGCAGACGCTTCACCAGGCAGGCCCAGGGGAGGCCACCAGTCTCGCCGCAGGGGATACACACGCGTGTATCGTTATATGTGCTGTTCAGCTGCAGTATCCCCAAAGCAAGACGTTCCATGTAAACATTTTTTCCTTTAATACAATTTCTTTTCCACTTTGGGATAAAGGTGAGGTCTAAGAAATAGCTGCACAATTAAATTCAGTGAACAAGTAAACCACCATCATTCAAAATCACTTCAACGTAAAAGTAGTGACTGTTAGTTTTGAGATTGGCTTATATACTCCCAACGCTGAAGTCCTTGTTGCTCTAAGCTTTAAGAACTTTATCCACGTGACATATCAAGATGTTTTTACTGTCCTAACACCAAAAAGCAAAACTTTGTACAAGGAGTCTAACCAGAAATAAATCACCAGGCACTGACCAAATTCTAGCCACATACCAGGTAACCTTTCGAGTAGGTGACCAAGATTGCTTCTGGGAAAAGCTGCGAGGGCAGGGCTGTCTGCTGGGCTGGGACAGTCCCACGCCTGGCTTGACAACTGCAAGAACATCTCTGCTTTTCTGTCTGCCCTGTTATGGTTCGGACATGTTTAAACACCAAGGTTTATGCATTGAAAACTTTGGCCTTAGAGCAGCACTGACAGTGCAGAGCCTGTTCGAGACAGGGCCTGACAGGAGATCCTTAGGTCAGCTGGGGACACTCAGAAAGAGTGCAGGACCCTGCCTCTCTGGCTTCTTGTCTAATGGGACCTCCTCCCCCCACATGCACTCTCGTTGCTGTGACACCAGCCACCCCAAGGTCCTCACCAGAGTCAAGCCAATGCTGGCGACTAGCCCTTGAATCTCCCAAACTATTAGCTCAATAACCCTCTTTCCTTTGGGCAGGTAGCTGGCTGTAATAAAAACGCGACTCATCCAGCCCCTGCTTGGGAACTGCCCCTTTCACTCCAAGAAGCATCCCTGCTTGTGCTTCAGGTGACCTGAACTAAGAGTTTCCCCCCAGGGATTCAATGAGTCATCTCTGGGACACCTGCCTAGCAGGGCCACAGTCATTTCTCAAGGTCTGATGCAGACACTAGGAGAACTCCAGGCAGATGTCGACAACAGCTGAGGCATCTTTTCCAGCATTTGGAAAATATCAGAACAGAAAGCCTCAAGCAAGAAAGGAGGTTTCTGCCACATCAGCTGTGTCCCCTGATGATCCCCATGAGCTCGGCCTCACACCAGAACCCCCTTGTACAGTTTAGTTCTTTGACCCAACGAAGTCTCTTCCAAACTCCTAGACTTAACTACTAGATTAAAATGAGTTTCGACATGGGCAGCTGGAAGATTGGGGTAAAGACTTTAGGCTAAATCTAGCCATTTAAGGTTCAAGTTAATTCTTCAATATCTGAGGACAAACCGTCCTCTTTCTGAATCAGCTCAGCTTCCAGGGTTCTACTTCAAACCAAAGAACACTAAAATACCCCAAAGGTAAATTCAAATAAAAATCCCTGCACACCAGAAAAACTAAAAAGGCTCATGTTTCCTCCAAGACCTAAGGGAAAAAAGGGATGGACAACAAGGGGACAGAGCAGCTCAGAGCCAGTAACTGCAAGAGCGGTGATCTCTAGGGAGTGATGAAAACTGCTTTCAAAATTGTTCCTAAGTATTTTCAAATGCCCTATAAACAGGAAAACACACATACAACAACAGTTAATAAACAAAAGGCACTCATAAGAAAATAAAATGTTTCTAGGCTTAATGAGCCTAGCCGTTCCTGTTTTTAGGCTAATTCAGCTTTGCTCTCAGGGCTGTCCTGAGGTCTAAGTCATGGGGCTGTCAGCTGACAGACACTATGAGTATCAAATTCTAGAGAACATGTTGGGAACGATCTTCCTCAGATGGAGTCTAAGGTACTAATTAGACAGTACTCCAACAGACAGCACTCTGGTGACGTGCTCCCATTACAAGGTAATAACAGGAAAAAAAAAAGTGAATGACTCAACATTTAGATCATCAGTCCTTCACCTTCTGGGAGCCAAATACCTCTGAAAACCTGATGAAAGCGAGGGCACCTTCCCAGACAAAAATGTACATAGCACAATATACCTCATATAGTAGCAAGAGGTTCATAGAAGCTGCTCCTAACCTGTATTCAGTTTAAATATACCTGACTTAAAATTCTTTTAAAAATTAATCCTCAAAGTGTTCAAAGTAGCTTACAAGGATATTCTAAAAATCCAGAACCTTTAAATCCATGCTGACTCGAAGATAAGCAACGAAGTGGTGGAGGACGTTGCTCTCCACGGCACAGTGCTGGGCTAGCTGCATGGCCCCGGATTTAGGCCCCAGTGAGGCAAACATAAGTCCATGAATAAATACGCAAAGAATGTAAAAAGAAACAAAAGCTGACCCTCACTTGCTACCCATGTGGGAGATAAGCACATGTGGCTTCTGCTCCCTTCATGCCACTTAGGACGGCCCGTACCTTGTTGGACCACTTGTAGGCCTGCAGGAGCTGGCTGTAGAGCGGAGTTTTGTCTTGCACTGGATCCAGGCTCAACAGCCCGCTGTTGTGGAGAGGGTGGTTCTCAGACGGCTTGCCCACCAAGTTGCTCAGACGCTCCAGCTCACTGAAAAACAGAGCACATAAACCTGAGCCTGCCTCATCAAGCACACCAGCCAGCGGCTGCTCATCAAAGCACACACTGGAAGTGCCTTAAGAAGAAGTATCTTCTGAATGAGTGGTAAAAAAGACCAGGAACAACCAAGGAAAATCCTAACTTGGAGTTTAATCTCAATTTAAAACAGAACTCCCTGGTGCTGATCCAAAGGAGAAAAAAAAAAGTTGAGAGTACAAGAATCAGTAAGACTCCTAAAATCAGGATTTAACAACTCGAATTAGTCTCTGCAGGGGAGGAGACTTTCTGGGATCTTGCAATGTGGCGCAACACTGCCGCTCACAAAGGGTTTTCAGACCCACGTGCAGATCACTACATTTGGCAGAACAGCAAGTACCTGAATAAATGATGATTATTTATCATCCACACAGGGATAGACTTTGTACATGACGCCTCACAGATGGTAAAACTTAGCAAAACAAAGAAGAGATAAAATAAACAAATGGGATGGGAAGACACCACGGAGGGGGTTGTGTCAAACAAACGCTTCAGTCTAGCAGCAAAACTCTGGAGAAGCTCAGGAAAGTGAGCCAACTGTAAAAGCACATTCCGCAGGCGCGTTCTGAGGGGCCAGCCCCCGACTGCCAACAAAAGAGTCTCTTTCTGAACAGCTCATGCTACATTCTTTTCAGAATCTTCAGCCATCTTCTTGCCACTACAGTACAGAGATTAAAGAAGGCAAGGGGTAGTGCCATTATTTAAAGTTTCTAAAAACAGTAAAGGGTTTTGACATCCTGAACATCAAAAAGAGAAGCAGGCCAGGGACATAGCTCAGTGGCACAGCACCTGCCTGGCAAGTGTGAAGTCCTGAGTTCGATTTCCAGTACCAAAAAAGAAGCAAATCCAGAGAAAATGGACATGTAAATGAGGAAAACACTGCCATGGCTCCTCAAGCAGGGAAAGTAATGACTGGTGCTTGGCACGGCACCCACAGGCAGCCACTGGATGCGGGAACTGAGGAGGGACATTTGACCGCCACCTTTGCCATCCTACCTCTTCTTTTCACCTGGCTACTGAGGAGACCAAGTTGCAAAAAATAACTGAGCTAAGGGTGTGATTCAGTGGTACAGCACTTGCCTGGCAGGCCCAAGGCACTAGGTTCCATCCCCAGCACTAAATGCATAGGATCAGCAGCTCACCAAATACCTTTCCTACTAAGCTCGGTTCTGAGAAATAAAAGCAAAAATCCTGAAATTCTAACCTTCCTGGTAGAACTAACTCTCCAAAGGAAGGAAAGGCAAATTCAGGACGTGGGCAATCAATAATTACCTATTGTGTGCTAGACTTTTACGGACATACTCTTATTTAATTCCTACAATAAAACTTATGAAGTAGAAGTAAAAAAGGCAAGATTTGTAGGACAGAAGAAAACGTACAATCCAGACCTTTAACAAACCACAAACCAAGAACTGGGAAAGGAGACTAAAGCATAAGCGATTATTTTCATTAACAGATACGAGAGACTAGGTTTCTACTGAGAAGAACTGAACGAACGTTGAAAGTGAAGTGACAGTTTTGAGCCAGTGGCTTTAGTAGGGGGACAGCCAGATCAAGGCCTGTTTTGTCTCGCTAGGGAGCGAGGTGAGGTGGAGCTGATGAATTCCAGGCTGGGGGGCGGGGACCTGGGCCCATCAGATCCAGGCCCTGGTCTGGGCAGTGCTGATCTGGACCGTCACTACAATCTGACCACACACAACCGGGCCCAGAGGGCCCACAGGTGAGAAACCTGCTGGGCTCCGCCAAGTGGAAGTTCCCGGCAAGAGCGCGCCCCCTCGCCGGAGCGGACGACCCCGGCCGGGATGGAGCACGGCAAAGGAGGCGGAGCGCACGCACGCGAGAAAGCGGGGCTAGGGGGGAGTCGAGCGAGGGGTGGAGAGCACGGAAAAGGGGGGACGCCGGACCGCGAAGCCTCGCGCGGGGTTGCAGCGGGTCGTGGCACGGCGCGAACAGGGCGGGCCCTCGACCCCAGCCCCGCCGCCGGTACCTACTTGAGGTCCCGGTTGACCGAATGCAAGTTGTCCTGGAAGTGCGCAATGAAGGCCTTCTCCCGGCCCTCCAGCGTCTCCTTGTTCCGCATGCCATCCTTCAAGCAGTCGAACACCCTGCTCACGCTGGAGCGCAGCGCCTGGATGGCACTGATAGCCTGGGCAAAGGCCTCCAGGTTCACGCCGACGCTCAACACGTCCGCCATATTGCCGCCACAGCCGCGGGCGCTCCGCAGTCGGCCCCACGAGCAAACCGGCGCGCGAGTTGATGACGTAGCCGCGGTGGCCGCTGGGAAACGTAGTGCGCACGCAGCTTCTCGGGCAAACAGGGTGTCCACTCCGACAAAAGGAATGCCTGGGCGGGGAAAGGGAATCTCAATTTGAGGAAGTCAGCTGCGTTTCCTAGCGCATAATGCTTTGCTTAATGACTTGCCTCTCCCCGGGGTAAAGGCTTCAAACATACTGAATAAGGTGAGTTTGCATTCCCATAGAAGCTGGAGACAGGGGGAATCCCTTCCCTGCAATAGAACTACAATCAATATGTATAGAAAGAATGATGGAATTTGGCAACCACTGGAATAATTGACGCAGGTAGGAATCAATAGCTGCTAGTAGGCAAAAGCATGAAAGTGTGACAAGAATAGCAGGATATTTACGTAGTCTCAAAGTACCTCCCCCAGCATACTTATTCATTAAGAAGGGGGCAAATCATTCAGTCATCTCACAGCTAGGCCTGAATCTAAGTGAATTGAAAGCAGGGAGATGTTTGCATACGCCTGATCAGAGCAGCATTATTCGCAGTAGTCAAAAGGTGGAAGGGATGTGCAGGCAAATAAAATGTGGTTTATCCATGCAAACACATATGATCCAACTTAAGAAGGAAGAATATTCTGACATGCTCCTCGCTGAAATTTGAGTAAGGCCTGTGGATTCCTTTAGAGTATTTTATCGGTAACATATCATGGATGAAATCTCAGGACGTTATGCCAAATGAAATAAGACAGTCGCAAAAAGACATGCCGTAGAACTCCATTTACGTGCAGTACTTAGAGTAGTCAAAATCATACAGACAGAAGTGGAATGGTGGCTGCCAGCTCGGTGTTCAGGGTAAAGCTCACACATAGCAAGAAAACACATGGCAGAGAGGGTGTGGGAAAAAGCTTGAGATTTAAGCAAAATTAATAAATATTGGCCCAATTTGGCTTTATGGAAGTTCTAGATATTCTCTAAACTGTTTATCTGTCTTGTCCACTATGGACAAGTTTCTGAAATTGTATTATGTTATTGGAGAGGATCTCCCAAATACTCTTTTTTTTTTTTCTTTATTTTTGAAGGACATAAGCACACACTTTATTTTCAAAGGACTATATTCTGTTTCCTTCTTTTTTTCTTTTCACCTTTCCCCCATCCCATTTACTCTTTCCTTCGGAAATGTTACTGTCCATTTTCTAAAAGCTATTGTACATTTTGGCTTTTATTCACTCTATTAACTTCTTCCTTTTTTTTTTTTTTAAACCAGGGATTGAACTCAGGCCCTTGCACTTGCTAGGGAAGCACTTATTCCACTGAGCCATCTCCCTGGCCCCTATTAACTTCTTTTTTTTTTTTTTTTTCTCAAAATTTTATTGATAAACAGATAGCAATGAGACAGTTTCAAATCAAATCGGAAGTACA